TCCACTGAAGTTCTGATCCGACCAAATGTCTAAATTCATAGCTAAACTTTCGGTTTGCTTTGCAATGGGTTCCATGTTAGGAAGGAGGGAGGGAGGGAGGGGAGGGTTATGGCCAAGGTTGATTGTTGTCTTTTTTGTTATTGATGCTCTGAAATTTAAGATAACCCATTTTTCAGAAGGTCTGCAAAGCTTGCCTACATAAAGGTAACCATGTACCCACAGACATAGTATATTTTCATTTGCTTATATTTATATCGCTAAAATCTTTCATTTTGCTGTTTATGTGTATTCATTTGATGTATTTGTCATGGCCTTTGTCAATAATAATAATAATAATAATAATAATAATAATAATAATAATATAATATCACTATCATCCTGACTTCATGTCTATACTTTCAAGAAGCACAGAAAATACAATTGAATTTTATCTGGCCAGGGCGGCTTATTTTATACTGTGTGTTTTAATTAAGATTATTTTATATGGATATTTTAACTTATTGTTTTATCTATGTTGTAAGCCGCCCCGAGGCTTCGGCGAATGGGGCGGCATAAAAATGTTTTAATAAATAAATAAATAAATAAAATAAAAATGAGCCACCATTTAGGCAAGACACACCAGGCTGTGAACAGCAAGCAGCTCTGCCTGCTGGGCAAGTCCAAAGTTCTCCCCGTCAGCTGCAGGAAGGCACATCGCGCAAGTCACGCCACATCACCCGGCCCACATGTGCGAGCGAGTCCGTCCACGGAGCCCCGGTGTGGCTAAAGGACACGGCCACTGGCGGCCAGCTAGTCCCTTGAGCCACATGCTGAACCCCGAGAGGCGCCTACGTGGGCAAGACTGCAGAAAAAGGGCAGTTCGGAATACCTGGACTCTGCCAAAGCAGAGCTGGTCCCACAGTAAGCCTATTTCGGGAAGCGCCATTCGAAGCAGACACGGCCACACCGAGATCGTACCGGCGTGCACACAAGAAACCGAAGCTGTTGAAGCAACAGGAGCAGGCTGCATGAGCGGAGACCAGCCACAGCTGCCGAACTCTCTGCCGTCCAAGGAGGGGCACCGAGAGCAGCTTCTGCTCTCCCCCAGGGCGCCTCATGGACCAGCCCTGGCAATCTTGGCGAAGGAAGCAGGACTCACTCTCATGCCAGCCCAGCTTGCTGAGGCGCCTACTGAGTATGATGCATTTTATGTATTTATTACTGTACGTATCTATGTTTCTGCCATAAGTCACCTTGAGACCTTTGGGTAGAAGGTGGCATACAAATGGGATGGGACGGGGATGGGACGGGGACAACGATGACAACGGCGGCAGCAGCTTGCGGCTCCAGCCAACCCTTCCTGGCTTTTGTGCAGCGGGAACGGGAGAATGACTGTGGAACCCGCAGAGACAGACCATGCGTCTCGTTTGGGCCCCTCCGTCTATTTCAGCCACGCCTCTCCGGCTCTCCAAGGAATAAAGTGCAGAGACCATCCATGACTGCCAAGCAACCCGGGGATGTGGCCGGACGGCGGGAGAGGATCTCATTACACTTGTGCGGAGAATCTGAAAGAGTTGAGTCGAGCACAGCTAACCACTATTGAAACACCGTCAGTTACTCTGCCACGCAGAGCTCGCAGGAGGACCGGAGCGAGACGCTGTTCCAGCGGATGTGCCCTCCCTTTTCTCCTTGCCGTTTCTTGACAGAAATTAATCGTCGGGACTGATCTGCAGTGCAACTGACCTATTCAGGGACAACTGCAGAATCCTATAAGGGGTTGAGCCAAAGCAATCAGAAATAAAATCAGAGGATGCCTTTGAGTTAGTATGACAAAGTATGCAAGGCACCGAAAGTGAAACAGAGGAAATTAAGCAAGGATAAAAGAAGAGCAGGCCTGGAAGGAAACGAAGGGCTGAGAAAGGGGAGCAGGGATGGCAGGGAAGCAAAACACAGGAAGGCTCTGAGCTGAAAGCGCCTCCCATCCTTTGGAACGTTCCACCTGGAACGTTGCTTGAAGGACACGGACCTTTGGAAGAGCTGCTCCTCACGTGGCAACCCGCCCTTATCGGTGCTCTGTCACAAGCCAGGCGCGACAACCTGGCCCATGCTGGCAACAAAGCCGCTGCAGCTTTGCCCATCAGTAAGGCACAGGCCATCCTGTCTGCCAGTTTCACAGCACAAAAGGGAAAGGGGAGGGAGAGGATGGGTGCTCACAGGGCCCCATCAAAAGTGCTCCTTCTTAATAGCCCATAGAGACTCTCACAAAGTGGGTGCGAGAAAAGCACCAATGAACTCCATGGCAAATGGCCAAAACTATGGCCTCCACCGTCCGCGCTCAGAGAAATTTACAGTCCGGTGTAACCTTGATTTTTAATGGAGTCACATTTAATGAGCTTTAGCACCCGCTATAAAAAAAATCCTTATTACCTAACCCGCAAGTCAGAACGGCCATCAGGGAGTCCACAGCGCATCCCATCCACTGAATGGCTGAATCCTGGTCAGCACTTTATAGTCAAAATCCATCAGGCTCCATCGCCTTTAATCTTTTCCTGATTATTCTGTTACTGTAATTATAATCCATTGATCCTGAAATTTAAAGTGCTGTGGTTGCTGCAAGCTTGGTGGGGGGCTGGCAGAAGCACCCTCCCCATTTCTAGCCGTTACAAGCTCAGGTGAACACTCAGTGTGTGCCAGCATCGCCCTCGGAAAGCAATATACAACCATTTTAATCGCCCTGCCTACCACGCCTGGCAGGTTTTTTTTTTTTTAAGGAAAATCAGGACAGAATTGCTTCTCCACTAAGAAAGCTCTCAAAGCTGCACAGAAATCTTAAAACCAAGAATAAATGCCTTTTATTTTTATGGAGCTCATATTAACAGAGGAGAGAGAAGCCACCTCTCACTGTACGTACAGTTTGCCACTCAGCTTTAACTTCGGTTGCTGAGATTTTACTAACTTGCTTGCCTGCTGTGTTGTTATACACAAAGCCGTTTGGTTCACAAAACAACCCGAGTGAGGCATCACACAGCTCGTGTCCAGGGGAATGGGTTGGAAAGACTGCATCCCACCCCAAGCACCTGGATGGCCCTCCGGGTGGCCTGGTGTAACTTGCTGTCCTGCAACAGCAGGGCGTGGACCCCGTGGCCTTCATGGCCCCTTCCAGCTCAGCTATTCTGTGATGCTCTGATTCTGTGAGCTTTTTGCAGCAGCTTTTACTGATGCAAGGCAGTAATCAGCTCTCCAGCGCTTGTGCTCTCCTGCACAGGTCAGACCCTAAACAATACGCATTTCTAAGACACGCAGCCCGTTGGCATTTGGCTGCTTCATGCTTTAACCGCTCCATTCAGCACGAGATTGCAGCGTACTTGCGCATCACCCTTGCCAAAATGCCAACCAAGACTGCACCGGGGCATCTCTCTTTTATGTTAAATCTGAGTTTCAGATCCTCATGGAAACGGAGCAACACAACGATCCGAGACCACCTGGAGATCTAGCAAAGGACCCCTTCCATGACAGAAGAGTGCACAACTCCAAACAGCTCATCTCACCTCCACAGAAGCCCCCCGGACAATGATAAGAGGAGCGAAAGGCAGGCTCAGGGCAGTGGGGGCCCTTCCACGCAGTGTGACAGGTTTCGCAGGCAGGATTCGGCCCTCGGCGACCGGAATTGCAGTGAGCAGCTTCCCAGGGCAGTGCAGCTTCCCAGTCACTCCCGCACCGAGCCGCCCGCTTTCGCCGCTGCAGGTCACGCGAGGGCCATGTCCAGCTCGGCTCAGCACTGGCCGACTGCGCATTCAAAGCACAAACGAGCCCCGTGGGTCGCAAGCATGTTGCGATACGCTCCACGGAGCCGCCACGCGTCGTGTGATTGGAGGAGGGATGCGCGGCGACAGGACCGGTGGCCCCGGCCAGCTGTCCCAGGGGGCAGGGCGGCCCCTGTGCCTGGAGAGGTTGTTCACCCTGCCCGTCTGCTCCAGGAGGAAGTGCCCCCGGGATCGAGGAGGCACCGGGCAGCCGGCCGCTTGCCGGTGGGGCTCGCTGGGCGGAGCACTTTTCTGCCCCCCCCCCTTTTCACGGCACCTCCGGCTGACCAGTTCACGCAGCTGCTGACGGGGAGGGCTTTCAGGGCTGGCCGCTCTGCTCGGCCTCGCTTGCTCCCGGCCTCGCTTGTGCAACTCAGGCTCAGAGGTTAACAGCAAAGGGTTGCAATCCTGCCACACCTTGTCTGCGTGAGCAGGGTGTTCCTGCCAGAAAGCTGCCCGTGCTGGTTCATTCCCAGACCTCCTCCTCCTCCTCCATCTCTGCCCCTTCCACCATCACCACCTCCTCCTCCTCCACACTATTAATTGATTAATTCAATTTATACGCCGCCCACGAGCCACAGGCATGCACTCACATGCCCAATAAAGAGTCCTGGAGTGCTCAAAAGCTGGTTTGCTGACAGAGAGCATCTCGTTTGGTCCTACGACGGCGCTACTGTGCCCTTCAGGTAGGATCCTGCTGTGGATGCATTCGGTCCTCATCAGGGAATCCCCTGCCGTGGACGCTGGTGCTTTACACGGATGCTTTTGCCTGGGTATCTCCCTTACTCTCAAGCCACGCCGGCTGCGGGTGTCCCCTCTCCTCCACTGTGGACCAACGCCACCCCCTGTGTGTTTGCACCTGGCCTTGGGTTCTCCTAAAAGAGGGGCAGATCAGAGAGCCCCCCTTCCGCTCAGGAGCACCTAGAGCAGCTCCCATGTTCTAAACCCTGGGATGATGATGATGATGAAGATGCTGACGATGACGACGGCAAGGAATTAATTGGAAAGGCAAGAGGCGAACCGTGCTTGTAGTGCCATTTGAAACGCACGGCCCCAAATGCTTCCATATACTTAAACTCTTTCCAATGTGCTGCTCTTTTGCTGTTCAATTCCCCCACACATGGCTCCCCACACTCTCCCTGGCACGGGTTCAAGCAGCAGCAGCAGCACCACCACCACCACCACGTGAAGGACGAGACGACCGAGGCGGGCACCTACCGGCGAGCTCCTGGGGCGACTGGAGGCTGGCGGCCCCCTTGAGGTCCTCCGGGAGGGGGCCGCCCCCTTCCAGCACTCTGACTATCTCTCGCAGGCGCTGGCACTCCTCTCGCAGGCGGGCCTCCTCTTCCAGCTGCTCCTGCCGGGCCAGGCTGGCGGGGTTGAGGGCGAGGTGGAGCACTTTGGTTTTGCTGGGGTCATGAAAGCCCTGCGGAGCACAAAAGTGCGGCCAGTGAGGCTCAGCGGAGGCGCAGCACACCAACGAGGACAGGCTGGACACCGCAACACCGTGCACAAGCATTTTCGGGCCAGGACTTGGGCCAGGCTGCTGTTTTACCGTGGGGGTGTTACTTCCACGTTGTTAAAAAGCTCAGCGTGGGAGGGTCGATAGCCATAATCATCTAGCAAGGGGTAGTGGCGCCCAGCGCATGCTTTACGTGAAGCCAGGGCAATGTCTAAGGGACAGAACCAACGGCTTTATTATCAGGTGTTCCGCACTTCACCGGAACATATAATTTCAAGTCCATGCTGGATGCAGCCGCGGACTAATTGACCGCTGCAGCTCTTTGACATCAACTCAAATGTGGTCGTCATTAGTGCATTGTGTCAGCTTTTCCTGAGCAGGCTACTAAGAAGAAATTTCACGCTGCACATTTCCTGAGAGGTGAAGTATATTTATAGCAGTTTAACTGATCAGCCTGATCAAAGAATAGCTGATTAATTTCCTTTCAAAGAGAGACAACGGTGAAGTTAAACTGATATCTTTAGAAGATGCAGTCATGTACTTGGCAGACATTTTGCAAGAAAAACGGGGAGGCCGCAACGATCCCCCTTTTCTAGAAAGCCAAGATGCAAAGACAAGTAACAGGCTTATGCCTGCTTATTATGACGTGGTTCTCACATAATGGCAGCCCAGGATATGGGTAAGTATGACCTGTTGTTGAACTGTGAGCACTCTGGTTGGTTGGTTGGTTTGTTTTCTAGACTGTCCCATTACCAAAGTCTCAGAAAGGTTTAACAATGCAAAACGTAAAAATAAAACACAGTGTCCTAAAAATTCAACTAACAATAAAAGCCCAATTAGAACAATCAGGTCTTAAAACACTGGGAAAATAAAAAGGTTTTGGCCTGGTGCTGAAAAGAACAAAGTAACAGTGCCAGGCGAACCTCTCTGGGGAGTGAATTCCGCAATTGGGGCGCCACCACAGAGAAGGCCCTTCTCCAGGTAGTCACCCTCCTAATCCCCTTCAGGGAGGGCACCCGGAGAAGGGCGTCTGCCCTAGATCTTAAGGAACAGGCAGGCACATATGGAAGGAGACGCTCCTTCAGGCAACCAGGCCCTAAGTCCTGTTTATAGCCCAGTATGTATAACCCAACATCAAACCATGGCTCTCTTCCTGGTTTGTTCAGTATTAACAACTCACAGTTAAACCACAGTACAGCATTCACATACAAGGACAATCCAGGATTTAGAGACAACCAATGATTCAATAACAAACCATACCCAACCTAATGCTACATGCAAACCAGGCCTAACCTTCCTTCAGCTTGCCATTAGCTATGGCCAGCCACCTCCCAGCTATAAGTTTTCTGCCTCGGGAAGAAGTGCTGAGAAAAAGGTGTGCAGTGGAAGCCCATGCACACAGAGAAATGCACACAGGTGAAGAGGCTGGAGAAAGTACAGCGGGCTGTATTGCTTGAGCTCAGGGATGGGAGTGGCTGTCTGGCCCACTGGTCAGAGCCCCCAAAGGCTCTGTTTAGCAACCCAAATACCACTACACACCACCCATGATCCAGAGCCTCGTAGCCAGCAGGGGATAATTAAGGACTCCACCCAGCCAGTTAATAAAAGAAATTGATCTTTGATGGGCCATCAAATCTTCTGCATTGCCCATTTCAAAAGCAAGATAGGGCTGTATTGAATCCATCTCCAGAAGCATCCTGGATCGTTGGTACTAGGGATGCGATCTCTCACAGCCTCTGTGAGTGCCAATGAAGCAGAAGAGGCTCAGGTGAAGTGGACAGAAGGGAGATTCAGCTCACTAGTGGCAAAGGTGAATGAAGCTGGCAAAACAGGAAAAATTAGAGTTCCAAAGGGGTTTTATGCAGCAGAGAAGCCCACGAGGAGCTTCAAAGAAGCCGTTTATGTCAGCAGCGCTGGGTTTGCTTCCTTCCACTTGGAGCATCTAAGAGAAAATCCATGCAAAACTCAAATAATTTAACAGGGGAATGAAATACTGTATGGCCTTGTGTATCACTGCTTGGACAACCAACCTGCTAAATAAATGGTTAAAAGAGAGGGCTGTTTTTCTATCTTGTTCCTTCCTGCAGAGGACAAACACATGGTCAAAACAGCAGCTCTCCTTGGTGACTGACACTTCCTTGGCCAGCAGTAAATTCTCCTACGGAATTTGCATTATGAATTAGGGTTGCACAGTAGATCCATTTTCAAAGCAAAACACCCAACGCAAAGGACCATTTTTCACTTCACCCTTTTCTTGAGCAGAGTTGGGAGCGAACATCGCAGAAGCTTACAGGTTAAAGATCTTGCAGCTGTTTTAGTGCCCTCTAGTGATACACGAACGGATGCACAAACCCCTTATTTAACAGCAGAACACAGCCGAAGAAAACACCGCTGGTGGCAGAGGCCCAGCAAAGAGTTAAAAAGCATCCATGCAACACAAGGCTTAAAATCTTGCTCAGGCTGCCTGTGCCCTGGAACTGTCAAAAGGTGGGTGCAAAGGGGGATTAACAGGACTTGGCTGAAAGGACCCGGCGGAGTTGCCGTAAGAAGCCTTTGTATGCACGTAAACGCAGGCCAAGGCAGCGTTCATGGGCGGCTGGTAGAAGTTGAGTTCCCGGTGCAACGGTGGGATTGCCCCCGTCAGAAGCAGGAAAGATTTTAACAGCCGTCTAGCCAGGCACTGCGTGCCTCTGAAATGCATGTGGCTTGCAGGCCATCTGCCTTGGTGAATTGTGCAGGGCAAGAATCGCAGGGGAAACATCCCCCCCCCCCAAATGTTTGCAAAAAAAACCCCCCCCCCCCATAAGTGGTAGGTTCCAAGATCCACAGGCTGGATGCTCATGAAAAGGGGCCTAAGCCATTCAAGGCTCACGGGGGTGCAGCTTCTTGCAAGTGGGGGATTCAGAAGCGCATTCCCATCCCTCCAGTCATTAATCAGGCCATGCTTTGGTGGAGCTGCAAAAGGCCAACCTGCGACATCGGAGATTTAATCCTAGGCATTCACCACTATAATATAATGTCCGTGAACTTAAGGCTGCATCTCAGGAAGGCTTGACTCCTAAGGCTGTACTGCAGGGATCAAGGAGGAGCAAGCAATGGTGGGTTATTCGCGCCAATTCCTAGCTCAAAATCCACTCCCGGTGTGGGGCCGCGAGCACGTCTCCCCGTCCCTCCTTCCCTCCTTCCCTCAGCCCATTGTGCCCCGCTCTTTCCACAGATCTTATAAACGTGCAGGCGTGAGGTAGCCCGGGCCAGGTTGCACGGAAACGCAGTGCATTCTTCTGAGTCCACCCCCACTTGAGTCATTGTTTGGGGAGCTGATCGCATGACATTAAACGTCAGGCACGTGCTGGAACCGCATTGTGAGACGGAGCCAGCATTCAGGGCTGCAATAGAATCCATCTCATTTTAAATTTCTGGGAAAGATCAAGAATGTATTTCAATGCAGGTAGTGGGTGCGCATCTCAAAGCGTGCAGGTCAAGGACTCCTGGCTAAGAAGGAAGGCCGTGCCTTCCATTGTGTACGACTGATATTAGAGTGGCCGAGTAGCGCTGCTGCGAAGATAAAGGCGTTGTGGGAAAGGGCAGCCGAACGCTGAAACGGAGCAGGGCAGACCCGCCGTTTTGGGGGTGCTCTGGTGCTATACAGCCCCTGCACCTTTCCCCCCCATCGCCTTGTTCCAGCTTCACCTCGGCTGGCTTGGGCATAAGGGTCCTTTTAAGAAAGCAAAAAGAAAACCAAGGCGTCCCTTTCAGAAAGGTCAAGTGCAGATTTAATACTGACTGACAAACTCAGCAAAGCACAAGTTATATCATAAAAATGAAAGAAACCCGTACCCACGTATCACTTGATTTGCTGATGAAGATGTACAGGGTCAGGAAGGCTGGCCCAGACCGAGCGGTGGGTGATCTCGGGGCCAAAGCCTGAAGGCTGTCAAAAATCCCGGCATGACAGTCCGCACCGTGAATTTGAAATTGAAATATTTTTATACTGCCTTCTGAGGCAAAGCCGCCTCAAGGTGGTTTGCAAAGGAACTTTAATATAGAAACTGCAATTAACTAGGACTTTTTTACTTAAATAACAGCAATGGTAAAGACCACTTCTACAAAGAAAAATGGGCATCTGTTCATTGAAAAATCAGACTGGAACACTGAGGTCTTTAGAAGTCATTTGAAAGCAATTAGGGAGGGACAGAAACATGCACAATGGGGGGGGGGGGGATTCCAGAAGGATGGGCCACCACTCTGACGGCCTCACCCATGCTCCTGCATAAGCCTGCTGTTCAGGCACCCAATCAGAATAGCTCTCTAATAACTGTTCCGGCTGTTTCAGAAATCCTCTCATCTGGGTAACTAAACCATCAGGTTCAGTCCCATCAAACATACTGAGAGCGAGAGGAAAAAACAGAATTGCAAAATTCTATCAATGCCATATGGGATCCGTGGAAGAAAATCCTAAGGAAATGTTTTGAAACCATTTCTTGTCGATACTGCCTCTTTGTGGAAACAGACCGGAGTAGATGGTCCATCTCTCTGAAACAAATTGAATTTTGGTTCAATGCAAAATCTATTCTCTGTTTGCCAACCAGGTATGAAATGCAGAGACAACGGGAGAACAGTTGGCGGGAAAGGGGGGGTGATGAGGAGAGAGACCCTAATGGAAGATCTACAGCTATTTTGATGGAAGAATGGCAAAAAATAAGGTTTGTCAATTTGCCAATCCTACTGGGGAGAGTCTTTTCTGCACCCACGCCTCTCGAGGCACACGAGAGCCGGAGGGCTCAGCTTTGGCTTTCTCTCATTGGGAAAAAGCGCATTAGGGACCGAAAGGGTACTGCTCAGTTCAAGGGTTGATTTTGCACTTCTGAAATGTAGGATGTGGTGTCGGGAGTGGGCAGGAAATGATAAAAGAGAGGCAACAACTAAAGAAGGCGAGAAGGAGGGCCTAACGGAAGTAGAGAAAC